TATATATATATATATATATATATATATATAATGTTTATGTTATTATTTGTAACTATTTTAATACTTAATATTTATTCAATCAAATTATATTACCATGTCAAATTTTATTTCCAAGTGCTCAACTCATATATATTCTCAGCTCAGGTTGCACTTCATGGAAATTTTCAATTATTTTATAATTTTATATGCTAATATGATTTGGAAGAAAAGCTTAAATGGTTTTGTGATTTTACGGCTTCATAGCAACATGTTTATATGGATTTTATGTTGCACTGCAAAAGTATTCAGAGCTTTAAGCAGTTTTCTTACATACAAATCTTGATGAAATTAGGTTCTTTATGATATTTAAATGTTTGAGAATTGAAACACAACATTTATTTTAAAGTGGCATTGTTTCAGGTTTGCAGATATTCTGAAATAAGGTGTTTGCAAAAAGATTCAGTCCTGTTGTAGAAGTCCTAGGGTTAGACAGATGAAAAACAATTGCTCTAACAAGGACACAATTGCCGTACAATTGGCCTCCATATGTGAATCATTAAAATAACTACCATTTCCTGACAACTCCACTGTCAAGCATAATTATTCTGGTTCTGAGGTGAAAATGTTGTCCAAAGAATTTTCTGGTCAAGTTGTTTTTTAATCATAATTCAAAGACATTTGAGTAAGTCAAGCCTTGCACTCCTCAAAAAGAAAGAACAGGATAGATGCTGCTGGGGCTTATCACCAGAGATCAGGCATTTTGTTTATAGAAGTGGGAATGAGTGGTGCAAATTTTACCAGGAGAATGATACCAAATGCAGACACAAATTTACATCGAAATCGTTTGAGAACAAAAAGGTGAATGTTCAACAATGGGCCAGTCAAAACCCTGATCTCAGTCCAACTGATGATCTGTGACAGATTTTGAAAATTGCAGTGCATCAGTGTTATCTGACTAACCAGAACAACCTGATGCAAATCTGCATAGACAAATAAGCCAAAATCAAAACTGAACAGTATGTGCTGCAAGCATGGTCCGCAAAATATTAATATTAAATATTATATGAATAACTATACTATAAAATATTAACATTAATTTTATTCCTGAAATTGCTTCTTTTTAAAAAAAAAAAATTTATTAGATGATTAAAAAATATATATTTGATCACAAAAATTGTTGTATTAAAGGGATTCACCTTCAGTTGCTGGTCCCCATTGACTTGCATAGTGTTTTTTTCAATGCTATGGAAGTCAGTGGGGACCAGCAACTGAAGGTGAACTATTTAATCATATAAACAAGTGTCAGTATTTTATTTCAATAAATATTAGTAATCTGTGTTGTATTATTAATATGCAACATTGATATATAGTTTCATGTTTTCTAGAGAAAAAAAATTTGTTTAAAATTGAATATGTTTACAATGTTCTGTGCTGGGTGTTTTTTGTTTGCTAAACTCTGATTCATTTAGTGTATTTCCCTCAGTGAGGTAAGTCAAGACTTCAGTGCTAGTGTTGGCCTGTCTGATATGTGCACACAACTTGGATCCAGACACACACACACAAGCACTAACGCAAACTTACAAACACTCATAGGTGGCTCATTTACCAGCACACTTAGTTGGCCCCTGGTCTGCCCTGTGCCCTTGCCAGAACCCCAATAGCTAAAATGTCCCCCTAAATCATATCCCTTCCCACACACACATACTGTCTCTCACACACACAAACACACACCCTTTTTTCTTAGAGTTTTGACTTTAATAAGAGATATCCAATCACTCTTAAACCCTGATCCCAAACCCCTCTAAACATATTTTATTTAGATGTTTTTATGTGCAAAGGGGCTCCTGACACATTAACCTCTCCAGGGCATGTCTAACCCTTCTCCATTTCCAAAGGAAACGACACGTATGCAAATACACCGGTCCGTTACCCAATCATCCCTGAGCCTAAAGCTAAACTCAAGGTTACAGGATGACACTTAACATTATGGTTTACAGATTCTGCCAGCTGTTACTGCTTTATGACAAAAGCATCACTTTAACAGAAATAAGATATACAAATAATTTAATAAATAGCATTTGCTCTTAGGTATTTTTTTATATTTTATTTTATTTATTATATACTGGGATAATCACTAAACATGGGTTGGTTTAAAATTAATCTCATGTAACTCAGATGTAGATTATTGTCTATTCTGTGAATTGTACCATGTCCAATGTCATTGTCAGGCATCATTATTTTTATTTTATTATTTGTTATACTTTAATATTTGTTGTGTGTGTGTATATATATATATATATATATATATATATATACATATTGGGTATAGAAAAGAATCACCCCTTTTAAAATAATCACATTTTGTTGCTTTATTTTTTTGCTGCAGTTTTTGTTTTATCCAGCTGAATTTACTCTCTGCAATTTATAATCACTGAGTAGGAAAAAGGATCACTCCCTCCTAAAAATGATTTGTAAACTAAATCAGGTGTAGCTACTCACCTTCTCAATGGCACACAAAGCCATTTGACTTTCAACTGTGATCAGCTGTGGTCATTCTGATTAGCTCGGCATGAAAAGAGCTTTCCTGGAGCATGTCAGTCATTGGTAGTGCAACTGAACTGAATAATCAACTATGGGTGGCAAGAAACTGTCAAAAGATCTCCGGGATAAAGTTGTGGACAGGCACAAGTCAGGAGATGGATACAAAAAAAAATTCAAAGGCTTTATCAATGCCTAGAAACACAGTGAAGTCTATTATTAAGACGTGTGTGCATGTGACAACTATATCACAAGAAAGGGGTTACAAGAAAAAAGCCACTCCTCAAGAAAGGCCTCATGTGGTCACGACTGAGCAGGATAAGGGGAAAAATAGATGGGGCAATATACCATCAAATTCTTAAGGAAAATCTGCTGCCCTCTACCAGAAAGTTGTCAGTGGGAAGAAGGTTTACCTTCCAACATGATAATGACCCAAAGCACACAGCAAAACTGAGCACACAGTGGTTGAGAAGAAAAAGGTGAATGGCCTTGTCAGAGCCCAGACTTAAACCCCATTGAAAATCTGTGGAATGACTTGAAGACTGTAGTACACAAACGGTCACCATCAAATTTAACTGAACTTGAGCAGTTCTGCAAAGAAGAGTGGGCAAATACTGCAAACTCTAGATGCGCAGCCTTTTAGTAAAGACATATCCCAACAGACTAACGGCTGTAATTAAAGCAAAAGGTACAACAAAATACTGATGAAAAGGGGGTGATTATTTTTCCAGCTCATCAGTGATTCTGTTTTTTTTATTTAATTTTCTTTTACCTGGATAGTATAAGTTGCACTGAGTAAATACAGCTGGATAAAACAAAACTGTGTCTGTCTTCATTTCAGGCTGCAAAGCAACAAAATGTGATTATTTTAAAGGAGTGATTCTTTTCTATACCTACTGTGTGTGTGTGTGTGTATATGTATATATATACAAAGGTTGCACTATATGTAAATTCAATTTGACATATTTCATACTTTTAATTCTCTCATATTTTTATTGCATTTTATTTAACTCTAATTAATCAATTTCCCCCATCTTCTCCCTCAGCATATTAATACTTCTCTTCCTTTGTCCACCCCTTTTCTTCTTTCTTCTTTAATTTCCCTTTCTCTCATATTCTGTTACTGTACATACAGTCTGGTGGCAGGCCAGTAGTTTCTGACCCTCTAGTATCAGTGAGTGGATCCTTTCTGGTGACTCTTGTAATTCTAAATGTGGCTGCACAGTCAGCAGCATAAGAGATATGTTTAATTAAAGGCCTTTCTGACGGCTGGAAGGCATCGGTAACCTGATTCCTCGAAGAGTGTATGGCTTCAAATGAGGAAGATTGCCAACATATTATGTTACATTTACATGTGATATGCTAATCAAATAGCCAATTAAAGCAGCACTATTAAATACATTAAAATACATTTAAAACAGTGTATTTCAATCATTTCAGCAGCGTACAGATCCTCGTTTATGTCAGACTGTGGCTACAGCAGCGCGGACAGTCGCTTAGCTAGCTCACATATACCATATCTATAATAATGGGAAAACATATAGTTTTTATGACATAATATGTCGTTATTACGAGAAAAAATGTCATTTTAACGAGAAAATATGTAGTCTTAACGAGATAATTGTCGTATTAACGACAACATCTCGTTTTTATGAGAAAAGATGTCGTTTTAAAGAGAAAACATTGTTATTACGAGAAAAGATGTCATTAAATCGACATATCTCATTATTACGAGAAAAGATGTTGTTTTAACGAGATAAATTGGCTGAATACCTCAAGCGTGTGACAGAAATGTTATGCCCCTCACCATATTGTGATGATGCCCTGTCAGGCCGGAGCGATGAGACAAAAACATTAAAATCCATTACAAACGAGGGATTTGTTGCATCCAGTGGGGACATAATTACGGATTATGACTTATACTGTCATTTTACGCGTTGCATCATGCCGTGTAAACATAAAACTCTGTCTGCATTTGTGATCGGAGGAATGACAAACAGCAAGCGCTACTCTACACTACTCAAAACTCGCGTTTGGATCATCAGTGGCAAATTCTTCAAATATAAAAAACTTACTTACAGTCTGTGAGTCAGAACAGCCGGCATTGTAGTCTACTCTACCAGGATCAGGAAACAGTCCTCCATAAAATGTGCTGCACACATCTGAATATTTTGGTTGTACTGTTCTGGAACAGTGTTGTAAATACAACTTAACCACTGATTTCTAGTCGTGTTCATTTTTGGAAGGCCAAACAAAGTAGTTTCGCTTTCACAATGAAACAGCGTCACACACGGCGGCCTTGAGTGAAGCAGATTCCATTAGCATCTAGCATCAACAGAAAAAAATTAAATGGCTACTTCATGAACTCCATTGGTTTTGTGAAAGAAATGCCAAATTTGTCAACACCATCAGATGTCACCACCATAAGATTTTGTGTTCCAATGATATATCAAAAAACTTAAATGTGACATACATATTTGTTGTGTTTGTTTTAATACAGTAATTGACTGATTCAATGTATATGATAGTTAAAATGACTACAAATTCAGGTTTTCGTCACCACCGTCAGATGTGTCAACTCCGTCAGTTATGTCAGTTCAGTCAGTTGAATATTTTGATAATATTTCATTATGATATTTTATATTTGTTGTGGAATTGTTGGTCACATGTGAAAGTGCAATCTGTCTGCTAACACGGGAAACGCTGCCGTTTTGACGACAGGGGGCGCCATTATCACCGGTAGGTGGATGCACCTGATTATTTCATTTTGTTTGACTGAAGCAACATAATTCCACAGCATTTTATCTGCTATAGTCAGCACTTTATCATCTTATGCTGTCAGAGTGTTCATGACTTCCATTATATGTTTTGGAACCTCCTGGCCGTACTGTATGTGCGGAGAGAACTGCGATACAGAGAGCGGTCGCAGAAGGCTACCGAAGATTTACAGCCATAGCTGTCACATGGTATATCATATATTCCGAATTTACTGAACAGAAAATATATTCAGTATGTTAAAGAATCCTTTCATCTTACCAACAGTGATATCAAAGATAGTTTTGTGGGACCCTGCGGTGCTTGTCGACAGGTGTTAATGGAGGTCCCCTTTTTAGAGCTAATAAATAATAATAAACGTTACATCAATGATGTGCTGAGGATTTGGAAAGGGAGCATTTAAAGTGGAAACTCTTCAGGAACTCTGACTGTATTACAAGCCGGGTTTCCATCCAAAGTTTCAAATTTAACTTTATAAAAAATTATAAAACATTTGCGAACAAGCATCATTCCCATCCAACAAGTCATAGAGAACAAAATCGTCACTTCCTGATAAACTGGCACTACACGCTTAAAAATAAAGGTGCTTCACGATGCCATAGAAGAACCTTTTTGTGTAAATGGTTCCATAAAGAACCTTTAACATCTGAAGAACCTTTCTGTTTCACAAAAGGTTCTTCGTGACGAAAGAAGGTTCTTCAGATTATAAAAAGGTAAGAAAGGGATGGTTCTTTAAAGAACATTTGACTGAATGGTTCTTTGTGGAACCATCAATGGTTCTTCTATGGCAGGGATCCTCAAATCTGGCCCACGAGATCCACTTTCCTGCAGAGTTTAGCTCTAACCCTAATCAAACACACATGAGCATACTAATCAGTGTCTTCAGGATCATAAGAAAATAACAGGTAGTTGAGTTTGGTCAGAGTTGGCGCTAAACTCTGCAGCGCATTGGACCTCCAGGGCAATATCTGAAAATCCCTGTTCTATGGCATCGCTTGAAGAACGTTTTAAAGCACCTTTATTTTTAAGAGTGTATAAAGCACTAAGAGAAGTAGGAGAATATAGTTCTTTTTTTTTTTTTTGCGAATTAGGCTAAGTTTGGCGTTTCCATTACTCGTTTCTCATACTTCAAAATGCGCATTAAAATAGGGTGATGGAAACATAGCTACTGTCGTGATTTGTAGCGTAACTTCTCGAGCAGTAGGCCTACGTAGATTCAGTGCATTAAAATGCGCGTTATTTGATGATGTTGCAGAAGTCTATCAAGTAGTCTTATCGATGTCAAAGTTTCTTTGGAGTTCCTCCTTATAGCGAATGGGCGTATGCAAGTGGAGTCGGCACTATATAAACCGGACTGACCGTCAGATCCAGCCTCTGTGCAGTTTAACAGCGGGGATCCTGGTTGAAACGGAAGCTTCTTCTTTTTGCAGGTAGGCCTATGTCTCATTCATGCATTTATTCATTCATTAAGATTATAGTGTTTCGAAATAAAAACACAATTCTGAGAAAACGTAAAATGATATGGTCTCTAATGCAAACAAATGTAAGATTCGTTCAAAATATTTTATGGTTCTTTATCTCTGAAATGGGTCACGAACTCTTATGAATAACGTGTTTTACATTTAGGTCTAAATAAGTAAAAATTTTCATATATCTAAAATTAATTCGAAATAAAATACGCCCCATAGGCTTTGTACAATTTTGTCCTAGACTTTAGAGGTTTTTGGTGTAAATTTTTTTTCCGATGATTAATCATTTTCCGTTTAACCGACAGCACTGAAACTACCATCAAACATGAATAAAGAAGACGACATGAAGGAAGTAGAACTGAACGAGATGGATCAGGAAAAACAGCCGATGACCGGAGAAACTCCGACAGGCACCGAAAAAAACGGCTGCGTAAAGGTTAAAGTGCCGGAGGACACCGAAGTCAAATTTACGGGCCTCTCCAAAGAAGAGTTGATGAAAGTCGCCGGCACAGCCGGGTATATCTGTTTATCTTCCTGCCTGCCTGCCTGCCTGCCTGTCTGTCTGCCTGTCTGTCTGTCTGTCTAACATACATTTGCATATTTTCTGCAGGTGGGTTCGGACTCGTTGGGTCTTGCTGGTTTTGTTCTGGCTCAGCTGGATTGGCATGTTAGCAGGAGCAATAGTAATCATAGTACAGGCCCCACGCTGTAAACCCATTCCTGAGATGAACTGGTGGAACGAAGGTTTTCTGTACCAGATATCTGACGTTAACACTTTCTCTGAAAATGGACTACAAGGTGAAAATGTCTCCATTTAATATTTGATTATTGTTTATTTGTGTTAATCATTCAAACCTGATATCTTCAGTTGTGCACACTGATTAATAATTGAAAGACCGCCCTGAACTCTGTTGCTGGAGAAAAAGGAAACACCTTAACTGATGGTGATCTCCCATTCCCATGCTCTTCTTCTTAACTCTTTTGTCTTTCATTCTGTCTGTAGGAGTGGAGGAGAAACTGGACTATCTGAACCAGATGAAGGTGAAGGGGCTTGTTTTGGGTCCAATACACACTGTGCAAGCAGACCAGTTGAGCACACTGGAACTAACTTCCATTAACCCTGAATTTGGTTCTGAGGGCCAACTGATTTCTCTGCTGGACCGAGCACATAGAAAAGGTGACCTCATTTGTTTGTTTTTAAGGTTTTCAAAATAAAACCTCACTTCACTGACCTATTTTGAAATCACAAAATAGGTCACTGGATAGACATCATTAAGCTCCTGTTGCTCTGTTTTAGGAGAAAGCTGTCTGAATAGCAGTGAGCTGTCAGTTTAACCTCTGACCTCCTGCCTTTTTTCTTCTAGTGAATATGTGGCATTACTCATTTTAACTCTATTTGTAACTATTTCTTTATGTATAATTTGAAATATATCAAAGCAAACCAAAATATCCTAGAAAAAAAAGTCTCCTCACAAGCCATTTATGGCACATATTGTATGCATTATGCCATTTTAGCGACAGTATAGAGGACTGGCTTGAAACTGATTCACTAGCTCAAAAACCGTTGTGTTGGTTTAGCAGGAACGTCCCTGTGGTTTCCAGTAAATAAAGCCATATGCCTTCAACCCTCCCGGGCACACCTGTGTTCAGCGCTGGAGATGAGGTCGGACTGAAGGCTGGGGTGAGTAGAGCATGCTGTCTTGTAAATTAAAGTGAAAATTAAGATTTTGATAAGTTGATAACTTGACATAATTTCACCTATACAGGAGAAACCTGAAGCAATGTGGGACCTGGAAAGTCAAGCAGAAGATGACAATGCAACAGCAAAGGTACATTTTCATGATCACATTTTCACGTTGCTATACATAGCACTCTAGTAATTGCACATTTTTAAAAAACACACTCTGTTTCTTTCTTTTGACTCGGACTGTGCAGGAGGAACGTACCGCAGTGCGTGACTTCTTTAAAGCACTCAGTGATCTGAAAGGAAAAGAACGATCGCTTCTGCATGGAGAATATGTCAGCCTTTACAGTTCATCCACTTCATTAGCATTTCTCCGCCTTTGGGACCAGAGTGAACGCTTCCTGGTAGCCTTAAACTGGGGAAATGACTCTGTTATCATGACGCTGACCAATAGCGACCTGCCCGCTGAGGCTCGAGTCTGTGCTTCCACAGATACAGAGAATCTAGCTGTGGATAGTAAGGTGTCAGTGGAGACGTTAGAGCTAGGGCCGAAACAGGCTGTTCTGTTGTCTTATGCATTTCCTGGCTAGACACACGGACACAGACAGTCCTTAATGTCTCAGATGAGTTTCAACACTGTGCACAGGTTTGGAAAGACTTTGTATTTTGAGTGGAAGAGTTTATAGTTTAAATTTTATTCTCTAATAGGGATACTTTTAGGTGCACTAAGCTATGTGAAAGAGTTGTTACAGTTGATGTATAGGATAGAAGTTGTCTCTACATGTCTCCATACAGAGACATGTAGATCTAAAGCCCCTGATTTAATAATAAATGAAATGGCTACTGAAGATGTGTTTTGTTTTAAACTGAATCCACTTTATTGCACTGGTGCAGTTAATGCGTACAGTATATCAAATGAAAATGGTTCCCTCTTGAATTAATTTACTTTGTTGTTTTAGGACACAATTACTAATCATAATCTTAAAGCAGGAAAAAAATGGTTAAGAGAAGTGTTAAAATTAGCTAAATACAAGACTGTGTTTAAAAACGGTAAATAAAATCTACAAATATAATATACAAAAAGAATCTTACTTGCATGCATTTAACATTAACACAAAATTACATTATCATTCAAATGATTGGGATGACTAAGAGTTATTAATTAATTTTATTAGTTTTTTTTTTTTTTAAGAAATTAGTACTTTTATTCAGCAAGTATTAAATCAATCAAAAGGGAAAATACTTGCATTATAAAGACTTGCATTGTTATATAAATTTCTATTTTAAATAAACGTTGCTCTTTTAAAAGTTTTATTCATCCAAGAATCGCGAAGAAATGTATCATGTTTCCCACAAAAACATGGTGGAAAGGCTCGAGGTGGACAGTCCTTTCACAAACTGCCACTAGAGGGCACTTTATGTCCTCAACATTCAAGCCCATAATTACATTTTGCATATTAATCGGCCAACTAAGAAAGTTTATAAACGTTTAACCTGGTTTTTACAAATCAGCAACTTTTTTTAATAATGCAAAGAAATTAATGTAATTTGCCTAAAACTCCCATAATTGTTATACAGCTATATTATATAAACACAAATGTAATTGTTTTAGTCAACACGCATGTATGAGATAAAATAGTTTAAAACAGAGTTTCACTATAAGTTGCATTGTAATTCATACAACCCTCATAAAAATAAAGGTTTTTTATTTTCATTGATGGTTCCTTGAAGATCCTTTAACATCCATGGAAACTTTCCAATGCACAAAAGATTATTTTTAGTAGAAAAAGGTCATTTAGATTTTTTTTAGTCACACTCAGGAAAAATTTGTATTTATTTATTTTTTAAAACTGTTCACTGAAAAGTTATGTGAGGAACTAAAATTGTCTCCAAAAACATTATTCACACACACCCACACACACAGTTCTTACAGTACTTTACAGAAAACTAGTGGCCAGCATTGGAATGAAGGGCGATTCATGTTCTTCTCAAACAATTCAATCCTACTGGCTCCTCAAAGCCTACAACAGTAACAATAAACACACTTGGGGAAAAAATAGATAAAACCATCTGCTTGAGGTCTGTCATATTTTTTTTTCTCATGTCTTTGAAAGAGGTTCTGTAGAGCAGGATCAGACAGGCTTCGGAAGGTCCACCCAGACCTCATGCAGAGCGCAGAGAAAACAAACCACACTCCTAAGACTCTTCCTCTTCCCCTCAGCTGGTATTGTACATCTTAAACTGAGGGAAGGAGACAGAATAGCATGCAGGGAAGATGTGTCTTTGAGCATGTTTTGAGAGCTTTACAGTTGTGTTGGTTACACCTTCCTGTGCAGGGGAAAAAAACAGCTCTGCATCTGGTTCTATCTTGGATGTTAGGCACAATGAAAGCAAGTATTCGTGGGAATAGGTTTCTGTGACTTAGTAGTTATTCTGCAGTCATTGTATTTATTACAAATTACAAATTTGCTTTTCAAGGGACATTTTGGGGCAGTCATGTCCTAATGGTCCACAATGAACCCGAAAGTTGCGGGTTTGAGTCTCAGGTCCGGCAGGGATTGTCGGTGGGGGGAGTGATTAACCAGCGCTTTCTTCCACCCTCATTACCACGACTGAGGTGAGACCCTTGAGCAAGGCATCGAACCCCCAGCTGCTCCTCGGGTGCCGCAGCAATATGGCTGCCCACTGCTCTGTGTGTGTGTGTGTTCGTTCACTACTGTGTGTGTGTGTGTGTGTGTTCACTACTGTGTGTGTTTCTGTGTGTGTGTGTGTGTGTGTTACTGTGTGTGTGTGTGTGTGTGTGTTCACTACTGTGTGTGTGTGTGTGTGTTCACTACTGTGTGTGTGTTTATGTGTGTGTTCACTACTGTGTGTGTGCTCTTGGATGAGTTAAATGCAGAGCACAAATTCTGTGTATGGGTCACCATACTTGGCCACACGTCACTTCACTTTCATTTTGTCTAAATATAGCCTAAACACTCCATGAATGTATATTCATACTCTGTATACAGTGTATCCTTTATTAAAAACTATGTGCCGATTTGTAAAAATATGACATTTTCCTTCTTAAGGACCAATGAAAATACTTTGATTTTATACATATATGACATGTGCATGAATATATTTCATTTGGTTGCAGAAATCTATGACTCTCTACTGTTACTCCTCCAGTACTGTATGTATGTTGGCTGTAAGGGGCGGGAACAGATGAAGTCATCTTCATAAAAGTGAACTGACCACCAAACTGTGCTCTTGTGTTCTGCCCGAAAACACAAAGGACGCCTCGCCTCCACTCTGTACAGGTATTTAACTGTCGTCTTTATATATTTTTATTTGTGAATTATTTATTTATTGTTAAGCAGTTTTTAAATTATTTAAATTATTAAGGGAAAAAAGCTGTCCAAACCTACGTGGCACTACGTGAAAATTAATTGCCCCCTCCTGTTAAATCATGAAAGAACTGCAAGTTAAATTTCACTAGCCACACCCAGGCCTGATTACTGCCAAACCTGTTGAATCAAGAAATCACTTAAATAGAACCTGTCTGACAAAGTCAAGCATGCTTAAAGAGCAACACATCATGCCGCGATCAAAAGAAATTCAAGAACAGATGAGAATCAAAACAGTTGACATGTATCAGTCTGGAAAGGACTATAAAGCCATTTCTAAGGCTTTGGGACTCCAGTGAACCACGGTCAGAGCCATTATCCACAAATTGAGAAACTTCAGTCACCTGAAGATGAGTCTGGGCTGGTGTCTGAGTGGACGGACTCTGGGTTCTCCAGCAGTGCCTGTAAGGCTCTATCAAATGCTGCTGTTCACCCTCCCGGGCACACCTGTGTTCAGCGCTGGAGATGAGATTGGACTGATGGCTGGGGTGAGTAGAGCATAAATAAATGGGTAGCTGAATCGGTGTTTGGTTGCAAAATTCAGAATTAAAAAATTGGCTCCCTTTAAATTCATTAGTTGGAATTTGAATTGAATGGGTTACACTCCACAGATTGTGACTGAATTCAAAGTGACTGGAGGAGAATTTAGCCTACTAAACTGCGATTCAAAGAAATTCAACACATACAATGTATTCTGGTAACTTGGTGTTCTAGGTTCACAAAAACAATAGTTATTTAAATATGCTAAAATATATCAGCTACGTATTTTCATTGTCTGTCTGTCCGTCCGCCCATCCTTAGTCCATATTTAAGGCCTATGAATACTTTTTGCAAATTTTCTAATATTGCAATGAAAAGGAAGTAGCTGGTCTTTTCTTTTATATTGTGACCTTAAGAATTACAAGGTCAAAAAAATGCACAGGTAAATTGTTCATAGTTACATTAATAACATGCATTTAGAAAATGTCAATTCGTGTCAACTTCAAATATTTTTAAACATTCATTCTAGGCTTTGTCAAGTAAATATTCCACGTTTTTGGTTTTAATTATGCTTTCTTGTAAATCCGAGTTTCAGTTCTTAATCTACCTCAATTTAAATTCATGGACTGAATTGGAATTTAAAATCCATTTTAATTGAGTTCTTAATGATTCACAACCCTGTTGAAAAAGGGACAGAAGGATACAGATTTTTTCATATATTACTATTTATGTCTTGTAAGTTTATAGATTATATGTATTTTAATTGTAGTCTTTCAAGAGATGCTTAGACCAGGTCAAAGAAAATAATAAATAAATAAAAAATTAAATGAAGTTGCCTTTAAGCCAAATGTGCTGTATTTAGGTATAAAAATACTTAGTCTTCAACCTATTGCTCTGCTATGACTTTGTAAAATAGTCATAAACTGTGTAGTTGTATATGTGCTATATAGCCACTTGCGTTGTGTTATGAATGGCCATCTGACACATTTCTTAATGCATAAAATCAAGCCTGTGTAGCTAAAAGCATTAGAAGCGAGTAGCTTTGAGGCCTTAGTCTTATATTTAGCGAAGTTACCAGCTGATGACTTAAGATTCCTCCTTTACAGGAAAAACCTCAAATAATGTGGGACTTGGAATACCCAGTAGTAGAGACGAATGCAACAGCAAAGGTACATTTTGATTATTCACATGACTATTCATAACAAGTAGATATGATCTCATCACTGTACTAATTACAAATTTAAATCCAGAACGCTGCATCTTGCTCTCTCTATCTTCCACTCATTCAGACTCTGCAGGAGGAGCATATCGCAGCTCGTAACTTCTTCAAAACACTCACTCATCTGAGGGGAAAAGAGCGATCGCTTCTGCACGGAGAATATGTCAGCCTTTTCAGTTCACCCACTTCATTAGCATTTGTCCGCCTCTGGGATCAAAGCGAACGCTTCCTTACTGCCGTGAACTGGGGAAATGACCCTGTAACCATGAACCTCATTTATAGAGACCTGCTGTCACAAGCTCAGGTTCGCCTCACCACAGATGCTGCGAATCTAGCCGTGGATAGCATGGTCTCCTTAGAGAAGTTTCAGCTTGGGCCCAAATAGGCTGTTCTGTTGTCTTATCCTTATGCTGGTTAGACAAACATATGCAGATCCTCACATATCGTCTCAGAGCTGTTTGTTTTTCTCTCAGGTCTCATAAAATAGTGTCTTTTTGCTTCGAGGAGTTTAAGTAGTCTAAATATTACAAATCTTAAAGTGATTTAAAATAACTTTTTTTTCAATCATTGCGTGTATTAAATTTGACGTCTCTTATCTACTAATATAGTTGAATAAAAAGGTTTTCCATGTCTGCTTTCAGTGCAAAGACGTGTTTATTCAAAACCACCTTAAAAATCAACAACTGGTCAACAAATGAACCAACCAAATGAACCAAATGAATCAACAAATGTTTACTGCTGTATGTGTCCTTTTTTTTTTTAAATCGGTGTATTTTATAATGAGAAAACTTGACTTTATGCTCACAATACATAATTGTTGTGCGCTTGTGTCTTGGCTCCATGCCATTTGTCGTTAGTTCTCAGGGCAGGAAAAGGAAGACTCTAAAGTTAACAGGTGTGTGTATGTATGTGTGTCATGTGCGATCGTGATATGCACTATATAAAACTATTACTTCCTGCACACTTAAGCTTGTAAAATTTCTTCCAGCACCTATATGCAGAACGGGGCCAGCATGACAATTCATAAATCTAGTTCTTCAGTTAAGAAATAAGTATGATGGCTCATTATCACAAAGTTTGATTTATACAGTAATTAAAATAATTTAGACACTCTTCCCTATTGGTTTTTTTAATTTTTAAAAAAAATTTTTTTTTTTTTTTACTCCGGATGTGCACTACTGCATATGGGGGAAAGTGCCTCTTAAGTTATAACAAGATTTGGTCATATATTTTACCTGGTGCCCCATTTGTTTTTGTTTTTTTAATGACAGTCTAGTGTTGATTAATGTAAGGTCAGAGGTCAAATCTGAAATTTCAATGGTGTATAATTCTCATTTATTTACCTTTTGTTTCTGCAGGTCCCATATAATATTTTCTTCGGCAATAAACCGTATTCTGGGCTTGAATCTGTGTTAACGTGTATGAGACGGAAAGAGATCGATCTTGTAAGAAATCTTTATCTAATTCTGATTGTGAACTTTCCCAGATATAAGCGGTGGTGAGGGCTGTTCATTTGCATGTCCTCCCACAGATAGAAGAAACATTTTGTAGTACAGAAATTACAAATCCAGACAAACTACAAGAGCAAAATGTATTTATTGTATTCGGCTGTAGTGATATACCATCAGAACCCTTTAAAATAAATTTAATAAATTTTCTAATTTCTGTTCATTATAAAAGAGTAATTATTTATAGTATCAATAAAAATAATAAATACAAGTATATTAATAACAATTAATATTCATAAAATCTAAATCCAAGTTAAGTGAAGTTTACAAGGTAAAGAACAGAAATAGATCACAAAAAATGTTTGGTGAGAACTAAAAGATGTTTGGTAAAAACTACAATCAAAAGGGAAAAAACATCCAGGTCAGTTGATATTCAGATAAAGACTGAAGAAAACAACACAGTTTCTACATGTAACATATTTTACCTTCAGCGCTTTGCTATTTAAACTCAATTAATGTGCACTGACTGAATCAAAGTTAGCTTGTGCTTTCCTGGTTTATTGCACTTAAAAATCTAAACACTGACACTATCAATGACACTCATTTTGGTGACTTTTTGTTGTAAATATTAGAGCTGCATGTGTTTAAGTAATTGCAACGTAAGTATGTGACCCTGGACCATAAAACCAGTCATAAGGGTAAATTTTTCGAAATTGAGATGTATACATCTCAAAGCTGAATAAATAAGCTTTCCATTGATGTATGGTTTGTTAGGATAGGACAATGTTTAGCCGAGATACAACTATTTGAAAATCTGGAATCTGAGGGTGCAAAAAATTATCAAAATATTGAGAAAATCGCCTTTAATAGTTGTCAAAATGAAGTTCTTAGCAATGCATATTACTAATCAAATTAAGTTTTGATATTTACAGTAGGAAATTTACAAAATATCTTCATGGAACATGATCTTTACTTAATATTCTAATGATTTTTGGCATAAAAGAAAAATCAATAATTTTGACCCATACAGTGTATTTTTGACTATTGCTACAAATATACCCAAGCGACTTAAGACTGCTTTTGTGGTCCAGGGTCACATATGAGGTATAAAACATTTATTTGTACAACTGCTTCAAACTATTTTTTTTTTTTGTTTTTTTACTTCACTATGACAATGTAAATATTTTATGCATTTTTGTATTATTTTACAAAAGTAGTACTGGATAACACTAATAAACCAAAGTTTTGTAGTTGGAAATTACATTAGAAAAAGGACTACATTATAAAATTACAAACTGAAATATAGCAAATTGTGTTTGGTCATTATACTATTATTTGTTTATTAAAAAAAAATGTTTGAAGCAATATTTGTGCACATAGTAAGTAGTTGTGATACTGTGATTCTGTCTCAGACGGCTTTATAACAGCTGTTTGTGCATGTGTGTGTTGATTTGAATGTCAGCGGGGGTACAGTGATATTTCAGAGTCGTCGGAGACAGCGACGTGTTTCTGGTAAAACACAACGTCGCACTCTTGAGATGACAGAGTGTGGTCACAAACCCGTGTGTGTGTTACATGTATTTGTCAAACGTGTCTTCATGTCTTTGTGTGTGTGTGTACCTATGTGATTGTGTGTGTCTTTTCTGTGGGGATGGGGCTTTCGTTTTGACTGTGAGCAACTTTTGACGGCAGTGAATCGGGTTTTTTGAGACTCTGAAAATGGAGTCAAATCACACAGCAACTTATCTTAATCAACTTAAGTCATTCACTTGAAATGCCTTTAAAATCAGGAAAAATTTCTGGTAACTTTGAACCACACTCACCGTTTCATGTTTTGTACAGGCTTTATCATGTCTGGCTCTGTTTCTCTCTCTCTCTCTCCCTCCTTCTCAATAAGAGAGACGAGAGAGAGAAAGACACAACGCCCCCTCTCGCCCTGTTGATGTGAAACTCGTCACCGAACAATGCCCAGTCATGCCTGACTCTCGGTTTTACTGATACAGCCTACTCGCATCACTAAACTTCATTAAACCCTTTATCTTGAACCCCATCTTCATCTCAAACGTTTCTTCATCACCTCCTCCATTATCACTACCACCATCATCATCACCAAACTATATTATTCTCAGCAAAAGTGTGACTTTCGATATCAAATATATACCGTTGTTTGTCAAACTCTTCAAAATCTCTGCATGAAATAGTGACTCTCCCTAAAATGAATGAGGGCGGCTGCGTTGCAATTTCAACAATCATTTTCATACCTCATCATTAATAAAGGCCTACTGAAATGTCACCTACACGTAGAGATGGTAACCTGAATCTTAAAAATAAAAATTCTGTCAATAGTGACTTGGTCTCATGTGTGTTCCAAAGACTATGACTTCTTATGTGGAACACAAAAGAAGTCATAGTCTTTGGAACACACATGAGACTATGACTATGACTTCTTATGTGGAACACAAAAGAAGATATTTTGAAAGAAGTCGCATACAAGTCAGTGTTGTTTTTTGAACTCCTTTAACTTTCATTGTATAAACATAAAAAGTCCAAACTTGCTTTAAAATGTCTTTGTGTTCAGCAGAAGAAAGAATGTCATACTAGTTTGGAACAACATGAAGGTGAATAAATGATTCGTTTTTATTAAGGGTGAACTGTTCCTTTAAGGGCCATTTCTACCCAATCTTACTCTTTAAACTAGTTTTGCTGTAATGTCCTAATGCATTTTGGTTGATTAATTGATGTTAAATAATATTTTGACTTCAGTTATTTAGATTAGTTGTCAGTGCACTAAAAAAACTGCTCTTAGCATGTTATATCCAAAATCAACTACTGTTGAAAAACATTTCTGCTATTCCAACACTGTGTATTAATTTTATTATGCTTTTTTATTATTATTAGCATCTTCTCCTGACCAAATTAAGTACCTTCCTGGACCCCTGGTTGAAGCCCCTGGAGGTAAAACTGGAGACCATGGAAATACAATAAAATATAACATGGAACAAATAGTTGTAGAATTGTATTTCTCAAACAGCATTTAACAGCGGTAAATAGCAATCAGATACAAGATGGATAAGAAAGAGAGAGTGAAAAAATAAGTAGTGGCAAGGACAGGCGCTTTGTCAAACTGAGAGCTGCCTCTGAGGTCTGAGTCGGAGCAATAAAGTTTTTTTCTTTCTCTCTCCCTCTATGGTGTATGATGTTTTTTCTCACTCGTTTCCAGGATCACAATGACAATGGCTTCAAAAGATCAGAGGTACCAAGAGAAGACTGCCATAGCGAAAAGTTAACCATCACTAACGCCTCCGCAGAGCCTCTCAATGTCTTTCTCTCTGTCTGTCTTACCTTAACAGTGCATCCTTCCTTCATTCACTCGTGTATACAGTCGTGCATGTAGCTCGTAGAGTTCAACTGTCCTACAGGCCTTGACTTCAGAACTGAGAGGTAAGTGACATCTTACTCTGTTTATGAACAAGACAACAAAAACAGACAGTGAAGTGAGTTAGCGAGTGCTAAAACTGACTAATAGGTAGTGTTTTACAAGTATGAGAACATATATTTCAGTTCTGCAAACAAAGTTCTACAAGACAGATATGGCTGTGCTGACACTCATCTTGTTTGTTTTTACATCTTGAATGTAAAGCAATGCAGGTGCATTTCACTTGTTTTTAAAAGTCATAAGATTGTGTATTGCACCAGACTTGCGCAAAAAACGTTTCATCTAAGCAACATGGATCTGTGTGTAGCCTGAAAGATTTTATTGATGTTGAGGCCTAGTTTCGGAAAACGACTGGAGTATAGAGGACACATTAGAATCTCAGTCTAGATTGAATGAGGTATTTTTTGACTGTAATGTAACTCTTTTTACATTTAATTAATCTTTCATTAATGAACGTTCTTTAGTTTGAGATGCGTACTGTGATAATACTTATCAGTATTTTCAACACTATTACTAGCTTGCTCCATGACTCCTTTATAGTGGCTTCTGTGGCATTCTTCGCATTGCGAATGACAAAGTAGAATATTGATAATTTTCTGATAATCTGTAGACAATCACGTGTCCCTGTGAATCATTCTCATGAGAAACAGAATTGGAATGCGTACAATCCTGCGAGAAAAAGTTTGAAAACCTGTTCTTAGTTCTGTGCCCTAACTACTAAAAACTCTATAATAATAACATCTTCTATTTCTGGAAGTCATTTTCAGAAAACATTTTTTTAATGGGTAAGTTTTTTTTTTTGAGGATAATTTCTGTCTCGCCTTTTATGTGTAATTTTAGTTCCTTGAAGAGCTGTGTCAATTGATGATTTGGATTATGGAATGATTATGGATTATGGAAGTGTGTGCAAGGTTCTGCCATTTAACACAAACAGCAGTCAGTAATGACCTATTTTTTGTTGATGGTGGACCATGCAAATTATTAATAACTCAGACTCTTAATAATGTATTGTCTGATTCTTCTGTCTTTTCCTTACATTTCATCTTTACTCAGCAGAGTCTAATAAGCGAACTTAAGAATTCTCTGATGGTTTTTGCTATTATTGCAAAGTAGAATATCATGTAGAGAAAAGTGATTCAAAATTGTTATTTATGAAATTAAACTCACATGACGGATAATGTCCTACAACCGCCTCTATGACTTTGGTGCTGCAGACAACTAATCCAAGCAATGATTATTCCTGAAAACGTATATGATAAATAATTAGCCACAAATGTCAGTGATTATACTTCACACTTGAAAAAAAAGGATTTAACAAGAAACCTTCTACTAATAGAATTGCAATAGTTTCTGGTTTGTCCTTTTAACCTTTTTTGAATGCTTTAAATTATGTCTATGCAAGAGTTTTGTGTCTATTCTGTGAGGATGATGACATCCACCAAGGGCATATTTCCTGTATACTGATCACTGCGGCCAAATTTAGCTTTAATATGCATAATTACTACTTAGCGCAGTGTTATGTCTTTTTTATTGAGGTACTGAATGGGTGTTGGGCATTTTGTAAGACAACAAAATTTTGATTTTAAAACTCAGGTCTACATTATTTGTATTGGGTCAAACTGAATATGACAATAGTCTCCAACAACAAATTAGCAATTTTATTTTTTTTAATGGAATCCGAAAAAGAAAATGTCGAATTGGCTTTACCTAAACTGACTGATATTTTAGGTAAAACGCATGAATCACATATTCAGACAGTGTCAGATAAATTAGTTAAAGAAATCCGTTAGATGGTTTAATCTATAGTAATTCTAATTATCTCTATATAAAATAGTAGTCTATGGTATAGAAATAAATTGTGTACTTGTATGTAGGTTTGGATGCCAGGCTCTGGGAGTCCTTAGAAACATCACTTAACTGTCGTTGCGTTGCAGTTATTTGACTATGAATATGTTTTACTATTTGACTATGAAAGGCAAGATATATAATCTAGGTAGCACCTGTTTAATATAAACAAAATCTTGAAAAAAGCTTTCTGTGTGTCATCACATAATACAGATATTTACATCAGATAATGTTTGTTAATTTTCTTATACATATAATTGAAAAATACTGGATATGGCGTGAAAATGTAAGATTTCATTAAAGCTGTTATGAGGACAGATTGCTTCTGATGCCTGTGTATGTGCATTCATGTTTAGCCTTTTGCAATAAACATTTATAGATTCAAACACATTAGAACACAGAAAGACTCTCAGTGGAGAATTTGTTAAATTTGCAATTTTTTTTTTTGTCTAGAGCACCAAGAGTTGTGTCTCTTGAAAAAAAACATCAAATAAACAAACACACAACAATTTGATCATATCGGTGATAAATCTGATCAATAATCACTGTATGGATAAGACTGCAGTGATTCAGTGAGATGCATACAGATTTTGTCCTCTTTGTCATTTTTATCATTCTCTCATTCGAAAACCTTTTGAACAAAACCTCTCCAAAATATATTCACGTAATCATATAAAAGCACACATTCAAAAAGTAATTTGTTATCAGTTTTGTGTAACTTCTAATGCTAGATTAATCAAATTTGCATATACCATATTCACTTTTTACAGGTCTAACACGGATGCATTTGAACCTAGGGTCACCTTATAGACATAATTTAAGTAAGGGTCAACTGGATAATGTGTAACATTTAGCACCGAAAAGACCTACCCATGAAAACAAATGTTGGCAAAATATATATATATATTTCCATGCAAATACATAAATATAATGAATTGCAGATTTTGCCTCTTTCAACGGACTTTGGGTCATTTATCCACTAACCAGTATGCGAAAACGTTTGTGTTTATCATTTGATTTCAGTTCAAATATTTTAGCATTACATTACAGCTATTACAAAATGCCACCAGCAAAATGTAAACAATTCCAAAACTAAAAACAGTTTGTCTTTGTAATAGTACATCCTTTCATGACTTAAAAAGGCCACAGTTACAGAGCTGGGAAGACATGGGCGGCCAGACATAAGAATCAGAGTCTGAACTGTACATTTATATTTAGTTACATTAAATAATTTAGCAGACTCTTTTATACAGTTTAAATGAAGAACCTCACAGTATTAGCAATTCATGCTACAAGACCTAAAAATGCTACAGAATCTATAGCAGTAAATGTACATGACAGTAAAAGAGATTTTCATGTCATCATGTATTTCCAGTTATTCTCTTCCCTGATATGAAATTATGGCCACATGTTGTCAATTGTAATTGGCTGGAAAGTTTGACAACTGAAATTCAGTGGGAGCTTGCTTAACGCATTAGCCGCTTCTGAATTAGCTGATGTTTTAAAAATGAATGAATTCTTACTCCTCCTAAAATGCATCATCAACACATTTCACTCTGCATCAGTCAGGAGCAGACTAATAATGGAGAAGCACCTAAATTCATTTAAAACTATAGGTTTTGGGGGACGTAACTCGCACCAGTAAAATACACATTCATTTATTTTTGTAACCTAAACTTGGAGGTTTCCCTTGTCCACTTCCTGTTCTGTCGTTGTTTCATGGTCAACTTCCCGTCACATGATTTTGAGCAACCACAGATTCTCACTGGCGTAAACAAAGTTTGTCTTTTCACCCACACAAACGCATGCACAGAAGAAAAAAATCACACATTAACACACATACAGTATATGCATGCACAATCTCAATAAAGCAATTAAGATTTTGTAATAATTTAACACCACATAACATTAACAAAAAGACAACCGTTCAAACGCATACAAATACAAAAAAAAATACACAAACTTGTTCTTATGACTGACACACACACGACAGGAAGCTTTGCTCTCACTCATGTCATATACACTTACACGCACACCCACGCCTTACCTGCCAGTTTGACAACTCTTACGTTCTTTACACTCAAGTCACTAACCACAACAGATGCGAATCTCAAGATAACACTCTGAGCCGCATGCACAATAAGCCCAAAAAGTCTCATAACTTGCCAGCATCATTGAAGACAACAAGCTTTCATCCTACAGCTGTTGTTAATTGTTAAAAAATCGATCTAAAGTAAGGTTAGTCCGGGTTCAGCCCTGTTTGCTCTATCGTCTGTCTGTTCGCCATGAATGAGACCCTCTTTGGACCGAGAGAAGATGGTGATCAATGCGAGACTGTGAGTATGTGACGTGTGATGTAGGAGAATGGATAAAAATAGACTGAGAAGGAAAAGAGGTTAAGGAGGAGAGCAAGACAGAAGAGGGAGAGAGATATAGAAAGAGAGAGATAGAGGGAGATCCGTGACTGCTTCCTCAGGATGTGGTTTTCGGTTCTGGGTTTTAAGGGAGGGGGTGACTCTATGACAACCGAAGACTTACCTTTTGATCGGTGGCAGCTGTGAAAGAAATATGTGTGAGAAAGTGTTTTCACATTTAAGTATGATAATGCGCACAAGTGAGAAAGAGCAAGAGAGAGCACCTGCTTTCACACGTGGCAGTATTTTAATTTTGTTAGTTGGAGACAAGGGTCGCACACGGCACACAACTCCCAGGTCGACATGAAGGGATAGCACACAAGCAAAAGCAACAGGTTATGGATAAAGAAAGGGCAACACTGGTGAGTACTAGATAAATGGAGTGAGAAAGAAGGATGAGAGAGAAAGTGAAAAGATAAACAAAAGCCGTAGAACTAAGGCCGTTTGTTTTCTTTCGATAGCTGTAGACTTTTCTCCGTTTTTTCTTTGCTGTAACGTTTCCGCATTTCTGTGTGAATATTTCTCTTTAAAAACAATTGTTACAGAGGAAGGCAAAGACAAACCATTCAGCGGTTGGGAAGATATCTCATCGCGTTTGTTTGTGTGGTTTGGCTCACTAACGCTTGTGAGGTTGAAAGGGTTTTGATGACTTCTGATTGTCTTTGTGTGCCTTTTCAGTTTTCAGATGCTATGAGCGTCCTTTAACTCGAGGGTGCAGCCATTTTCAACACGCCACATGGCTGACCATACATCTCCCGAGCCCGAGTCGCTCTCCTACACTCCCATGTTTCGCCCTCAGACAGAAGGACAAAGGTCAAGCCACGACCTTTACCAGCAAGGTTCAATGAGTGGGCTCGGCCAGTTTGAGGTCCCGTGTGAAGCCACGGACGGCACCGGGAGCACTATGAATGGAATCGATCAATCAGCGAACACTGCTTACTGGGGGAATACGTCCCCTGTGTCCTCTATGGGACTGAACAGGAACAAGGCACAAGCTGGAGTTTATGAGACTGACTGGAGTTCTCACTGCCACCAACAAGAGGCATTAGAGGGTTATGAAACAACTGGGCATCAGCAACAAAAACTGGATTCTTTCTCCGAGGCGTTTTGCAGTCGTAGCCCCTTCCGAATGCAGGCCGGAGGAGAGCAGAGCGGCTTCAACAACTCTACTCCTCCTTCACATACCCTCTCCTTCCCTCTGGTTCTTAGCCCACCGCCAACGCCCTTGCCCCCTCCATCCTTTTCTCCTCCTAAACGACCTCAACACTTCTCGCCTGGCCAGATCTTAAGCCAATCACAGATAGATGGGTCACTGCAGTTCTTTCCCTCTTTACCTTCGCCCTCCACCGGCAGGTTCAATCACCCCATTTGGCTCCAGCTACAAGCTGACGACAACAACGGCCTGGACTTAACGCAGCACCTCCCGCAAGATTCAAACTCATCCATGGTTTATTCAGAGCATGGAGGGCCTCATCTGAAACAAATAAACTCCCTGCAGAAAGGTACGGATAACATAACGCCATCGTTTGTGTGTTGACCTGTCTTGACATGCTGTTACTTTCAAACCTTAAGTGTTATTTTTAATGAAAGAAGTGCTTTTCTTGCTTAGACTGTTCACTGCAAATGCCCCTCAACCCTGCACTGGTTCAACATCATCATTCTCAGGCCTGCTTGCAGCAAGAGCTGGGTCACGAGCCCGGGACATCCGAAGATCACATGACATGGCCTCAGGTCAGTCATCTGCACTATCAGACAGATCGTTAGCCTGGTCAAGCATATTAGATTGATGCATCAATGACTTTAACATCATAGCAGCCCATTTAATTTTCATGTTCTGTATTTTAAACTGGTTATGCTAGCATGCAACATTCATTACATTTATATACAACCTTTTTTCCATTTTGAAAGTTTGGGCAATCATCCCGTTCATTTGGACCTTCTCTGCATCAGTCTAATCTCCATGTGCAGGGGTCAGGGCCAGGAGAAGGAACAAGATTCGGTTATGGACTGAACTTCGGTCCTGGGTCCTCAGATAAACCTCTGGGGTCCTCCAGCACACAGGCAAAATACCTTTTAATTTACTAAATAATTTTGTACCGTTCAAAAGTTTGGGGTCAGTAAGATTTGAAACATATTAATACTTTTTTGAACAATTTAATGGATCCTTGCTGAATAAGTGACAGTGAAGAGTTTTATAATATTACAACAACATCTATTTCAAATAAATGCTATTTATTTCTATTCATCAAAGAATCCTGAACAATATTATCATGGCTTCCACAAACACATTTTACAGCTGTTTGCAACATTGGTAATAATAAGAACCGTTTCTTATGCAGCAAAGCAGCATATTAGAATGACTTCCGAAGGATCACATGACACTCTGAAGACTGGAGTAATGGCTGCTGGAAATTCTGCATTTTCATCACAGGAATAAATGAAAGCAGTAAGCCCCAAGAAGCCGTGGTTTACAGTGGATTTATAACAGAAGTGAAGCGGAGCGCCTAAAACCCCCTTAGCTGTTATAAATTCACTGTAATCCACGGCTTCTTGCTTTTATAAAACGGTTATTCCATATACGTAGTAAGGTTTCACAAAATACAACAGAGCAAATCAAGTGTAATGATATTAATAAAAACCGTATTCTTCCACCAAACAATGTAGTTCCTCAGAATCAGTTGTGGTTGCAACAAAGTGGTTGCCAAGCAACAGACAAATGTAAACAAAGGTGTGTGTTTGTAGAGTAATTTACAACAGCTTCGAACGTGACTCAGCCAATCAGAATCAAGGACTGGAACTATCCGTTTTATAATACTTTTTAAAGTATCCACCTTTTTCTTGATGTAAAAATGGGCGCGGCCATTTGTAAATTCAATGGGTCTGGCTTCCGGTCTCATCTGCGTCCAGCTATTTCTGCTTGATATTAAAAGTTGGTGTGCCTTATCATATTATTTTAATGTATTATCTTAATTATGAACACACTGGTTTGTAGTGCAAACAGTTTTACCGTTTACTGCATGTTGTTATTCTCCTCGTTATTTACCTATAGCGGCTAATGAACCGGAAGTCTCACCCATAGGCTTACTTCCGCGTTGAAGAAAAGGTGGATATTCAAATAGAAAACAATTTTTACGCTGTAATAATATATTACTGTTTTTACACTATTTTTGGTCAAATAAATGCAGCCTTGGCGAGCATAAGACACTTCTTTCCAAAATATTTCAAAAAAATCTTACCAGCCCTAAACTTTTAATACAAAATATGAAATATAAACTTTATCTGTTAGCGATTAAAACCACAAGTATTTATGCTTTCAGCTGTTAAGCTGTGGTTGGCTCTGCAGCATCATTTTAAGCAGAATCACTCACATGCAGCTTTATTTGCCTCATTTAGAGTGTTCCAAGTTCCGTATATACTGGAGTCCCTTTCAGCAGTGTGATCCAGATGAGTAGAGCGCTCGGGGAGAACTGGGAAGAAACTACACCTCACTATACGCCACCTCCGATGCTGAACCCAACACGTAGTGGAACGGGGCTCTTTTGCAACCTATTGTCTTCCCTAGCTGTGGAAAGCAGAGCACTGTGGACAGACGAGAGGAAAGATGATGACTCACAAAGGTAAGCATTCAAATGTTTGTTTGTTTCTTCTCAGTTTTGGTCGCTCATTGGTGTCATACAGGAAGCATTTGTATTATTTCCCCTTATACAAATGCATTCTTTTTTCTTTTTCTTTATTTATTAAGAGCATGTCTGAACAGCTAAAATAATTGTATCTTATTTGACAACAATAATCTGTCGGAAGATAAATAATGCAAAATGTAAGTGTTTTCGTTCTTGATTGGGAGAGCATCTGCTTGGTTGTGTGTAATCTTCCTAATTTTAACCCTCTGGCATTGTTCGCATGGTGACCTTTTTAATTTCAATAAAATTAATGTACCTTACTGTAGTTTGATAATGTTTTTTTTTTTTATTTAAATTTTTTTTTAGGGGATTTTATGGTCAATTATATTTATTGAATAGTTCCATTTATTACCTGATATCCACTTTTTGAGCATAGACCTTGTCGTAAATCTTGAATGCTTTGGAACACAGACTTGAATGGAAAAAAGTAGTTAAAAGTGAAACTAAAAAAATTATAGAATTTTAAGTTTATTTTTATGAAAAATGCATAAAATCCAAATCATGTTTTACTCTAAAACTGCACGAAAATCAAAGCCATAAATCTAAACAAGTTGTGTTCCAAATTTGAGGTTGATGCCTCAACAAAAAAAAAAGAGCTCTCAGTAAGATTGTTTGAACACCGTACCAAAAGTTTCTACTAGATAAAATTTGCTTCCCATTCATTTCCAATGTCTTAATTTTTGACCGAACAAACACCAGAGTCATGCTTCTTTGAGACCGATGATTTCATGAAACTTTGTCACATTTACACTCAAGGTGCATAAATATAGGCCCAGAGTTCCAAGCTGAGCTGCCAGATTTGATAACAGGAAGAGAGCCTGAGGTGTGTCCAGAGGAACCAGTCAGGGAGGAGTTGTTATGGAAACCCTGGGCAGAGCTAGAGGAAAATGACACCCTTTTACAGCACGGTAATCAAAATAAAATATTTAAATTACCCTTAAACCACTAGGTTTTTTTCTTCATTAATGAGTTTTATCTCAAACCTCAGTGGAGAACCTTCTTGACCTGAGTGCCTCTAGTGTTCTACCAGGAGGTGGCGCCAATTTGGAGCTTGCTCTTCATAGCCTGTCTCACTGCCAGGGAAACATTCTAGTAAGTGCAATATTCATTATGAATTATTTTACTCTTATTTTATGTTGTTTTATCTTGATACTTGCTTTCTTTACCTTGTTATTATTCTAAATCCCTCGTCACAGTTTTTTTGTTCTTGATCATTGCTAAAGGCTATTTTTCATTGTAATAAATCGATGTTTTCAATTAAAAAAAAATAATAATATTCATTATGAATTCATGCTTGTAGATTTATATTTTGTGATTGCTTTCACATTTACCTTTTTCAAAATGTCCTTGGTAATCATGACTTCTGATGACTGTCTTTCACAATAATGCAGCATAATTTTTAATTTCCTTATTTTTCCTGGTTACAGGCAGCGCTGGAGATGCTGTTGTTTAAAAACTCCCCTCCATCAGAAAACTATCACTATTCTGGTATGCACTCATTTGTTGATCGTCAAAAACTTCTACAGTAAGCATATTATAAATAAGACTAATCCAGTTGCACTTTCCATTTAGGCATGGAAACATGGACTTTGAGTGAACAAAAACTGTTCCATAAAGCATTCACAATTTATGGAAAAGATTTCTCCTTCATACACAAAATGGTAATATATTGAGTATGTGCAACTATAAACCACCAAATATCAGAGATCAGCGTATTTACAGTTCTCATACTTTCAGGTGAGAACGAAGCAGGTGGCACAGTGTATTGAATTCTACTACAACTCCAAGAGGCTCTCAGAGAAACAAAACAAGCAGAGGGAGAGAGAAAAAGAAAGTCTGGAGGAAGAGAGAATTGCAGCCATCATCAGTCAGGTAAGACTGACTTTGATTACAGCACATCAGTGTCAGTCGATCATAAGAACTGACCCGGCACACCCATAAACGGGTGTGTAATGGTTTTTATAATATAAGCTGAGGCTATAAGCCATTTAATTTAATATCATTCACATTTTTGTAAGCAATTGTTTTTAACGGATGGCTTTTGCCCAGCCTTACCTAAATCCCATACAAAACAAACACTGCGCATTAAAATACAACATTTTACAGAACCTATTTACTGGTTTAATTATTTTTAGATACATTCAATAGATTACACTGGTTTGTAAAATGTCATGTTTTTGAGTTTTGCTTTGACCAGCAGGTAACGCCAGCCACAAAGATGATGGTTAACCAAGCCAGTATTGACAGACTGATTCATACCCCACCACTGCCCACAAGCTTTCCCTGTAAACAGTGCGGAAAGTAAGCATAGACAAATTTTGCCTGTGTTATAGTACTGACAATATTGAAATTCATGGTCTGTTTCACATTAACTGTCGTTCAGCCTTCTCTTTGACCTTGCAAAATGTCTTTACAGGATGTTCTATAAAATCAAAAGTAGAAATGCTCACATGAAGATCCATCGGCAGCAGCAAGAGGACTGGAGGGAAAAACTACGGATACACCCAAACCAGCACCACAACCTGACCAGAGCACTGGCTCATCCAAACCAGCAAATCCTAACCCAGACCCACCATCAGAATCACATCCTGACCCAAAGTCTGATTCAGAATCTGGTTCAGTCACAGACCCAGTTGGCTTTTCTTCAAAGCACAAAGACTCCGAGTACATGCCCAACAGGCAGTTCCAGTTGCATGGCTCCCACCCAGGATCCACAGATTGTGTCTAAAGCACCTCCCTTACAACTCCACACTGGACACCAGCAGACATGGGGCTCCCTTCACAATGTAGACGCAGGAGGCCTGTTCTATAACAGAGGATCCATGGTAAATGGGCTCCATTTGAGCATACAGGACACTGTCAGTAAACCATGGGCTGATACCCAATAACTGACTTGTACAGTTTGTAATTTGTTAAGAACTTAGAGATATTACTGCTTTCAAGAGCGTTTTTAAAGACTTCTCAAATTTATGAACCACTGTAATGTGGAAAAAACAAAAAAACAAAAAAACAAAAAAAAAAAGTTGCCAAATGCTTCAAGTAACGGTTTTTATTTTAAACAGCACATGACAAACGTTTAAGACACAAGTTTATTAAATATCACATCACATCTAAAAGCCTCCATTAGGTCCTGGGGGGAAAACATTTTAATTACTGAAATTCCACCCATTTCAACCTAAAATTTTAAAGTTCAGTTGCTGCCTTAAAGTAAAATGAATTGTTGTACAACTTTAACTTACATTAAACTTCAACTTAATTTAAATTTCTCAACTTGGAGTTAATGTAAAAACATAAGTTGCCATGACTTTTCTTGTAAACAGTGTATTAGAAGTCAATACCACCTAATGACCACTGGGCATTTTCGTCTAGGGGCTCACCTCCACCATCCCACCCGTGCAGAGTCAGCTGGTTTCCTTGCAACAGGTCCCTGAAAAGAGGGCTTCATAACTGATTGTTTTTGCAGTTGCATGGGCTTAAGCATTTGGGAAGGAACTGAAAATAGAAGGCACGATCAAGATTATTATAGGAACTTACAAACACACCAAATGATTCTAAATCATTCTGAATAGCAAGAAGTTGAAGAACGCTACTTTCACATGTCAGATTTTAAACACCTTGATCACAAAACCCACACACTTTTTATAAATACTGACCCAACAATATTTATCCACTAAATCAAAACCAATGCCAAACCTAGCCCTCACAGACATTTTTGCATCTTTACATAAATCAATTTTAATACATTTATTTCTCTCATGGGGACCACTAGCCGGTCCTATTGTTGCCAAGTCCACAGTTTTCCTAAACAGAACTGTTGCCGCAGGTTATTTTAATTCGTGGGTTGAAGCACACCAGGCTGCCCCCCAGAACGCAATTTCAACCGAGGAGGACCTCCTAGAATGTGATTGGAGCAATTTTGATGCACATTTTCCCCGGAATGCTGGTTTCGTTACCCAGACCTGGCAACCCTGGCCCATTCTCACAAGGTCAAAATTTTAGGATTTACTGTCGTTGTGGAGAAATTCGGCAACACACCTGAAATCTAGTGCCACAGGTGTCAAGTCCAAAAGAGAAGAGGACTCTGGACTCATCAGTTTCTTGAGGTCTGCAGTTTGTGTCCAATAGTGTGGTTCTGGCAGGATCTGCTGTAGGTACCACTTTAGTGATGTCACTCAATACGGTCATCACACCCTCAGTAGAGCACACTGCAAAGAAGAAACTTTAGCTGCAAGCAAACTGAACATTGCATTGTCACTTTACACAATCCTTTACCACTCCATCCCTAGACCCATATTGGATCAAGAAAGCTCAACCAAAAAGAAATGCACTTTCTGATGCCAATGCCATAGATTTGTGTGAAACCATTAAAAGCGGCATTACCCAAGAGCTCAGTGGTTTGGAAGAGGCAGCGTTTGGCCGAGGACTTCTCAATCTTCAAGGTTTTAGAATTTCTAGTGAGAAGTTCAAAAGTACCATAGAACTGCTGCAGAGTAATATTCTATTAACAGAGAGCGACAGATGTCAGCCACACAGTCAACGACTTGAGGGTAATTGAGAAACTTAATGGCGTCTGCAACTGGGTCCTGCAAGTGATTAAGTCTTACCTCATAGACATATTCGATGGTAAAGAGAGGAACATCCAATACTAAGGTGGTGCTGTAATTGGTCATGATGTAGCCACGTTCCGATGCAAGCTGTGAGGTCAGTGTGTAGGGCCCGATGGTAATGTCCCACAAGTAATCATACTTCTTATGGTCCTTCATGAAGCTTATGCCATAGTCAGCACACACACACACACAATCAAAAACCGGAGGGACTGTTGAGAGAGAGGGGAAAAAAGAACCCCCCCACACACACACACGTTTGTTTTTATGGTTTCTGGGGACTCTCCATAGGCGTAATGGTTTTTATACTGTACAAACCGTATTTTCTATTGCCCTACACCAACCCTACCCCTAAACCTGCCTCTTACAGGAAGCTTTCTGCATTTTTAGATTTAAAAAAAAAATTCATTCTTAATAATTTATAAGCCTTTTGAATTACGGGGACACTGAAAATGTCCTCATAAATCACCTTCTCGTTGTAATACCTATGTCATACCCATGTTATTATACAAATTTGTGTCCTCATAAACATGCACACACACCTCTTAATGCATGCAGACAACATAGTACTACATCAATAGTCAAAAGTGTTTAAGTGTTAAGATGTCTCAGATGGCCAATAGCTTAAGTGTAAAAGTTATTGGTTCTTACAGACATTCTGGGTATCACGGACATCAAGGATGAAAGCAGTCACAGAGGAAAAATGTTAAAAGGTCCTCCATTTGAGGCATGATGTTCAAAGTCCATTTAATTTCCAGAGAGTACTCAAAGGCCCTCTGAAATATAATGGAAGAATGAAATGGAACTCTGAAACACAGATCATTCTGGCAAATTCTAGCTTTACTCAATCTCAGATTTTCTCAAGAGGGTCTAGCTGCAGCCTTACACTTGCACTCTCAGATTTGCATTCTAAGACTTGCACTCTCAGACACTTGCGCTTCTGCTAGCGATGTCACTTGCAGTCTTTTATTTTGTTCTATTTATTGATTACTTTTTGTTTGAGTTGCTCAACATTTTACAACAGTAGCTAGGTGGTGAAGACAAGAAAAAGAAACTAAATTACAACATCACTTGCAATCGCCACTAATGGTGCGTGTTGCCAATGGAGACAAGAAGCTGTGGTGGTGATTAAACGATTAAAACTAATTCAGTACTATAACATACAGGGTCCTGCAAGAAAAAGACAAGACCCGCAAATCCGTGGCCACAGAACATGAACGCATGCGCAAAGTCTCTCGTTAAGCGTTTTCCTCCTGTAGAAAAACAAACACTTAACATGGCTTAATGTATTAAAATGCTATTAAAATATCAAATTAAATATACAATTTATTAATATAATGAATATGTATATAGTATTTTCCTCCCATACCGCATAATGGACTAAAAAGGCCAAACTCGATATGCTCCGCTACATTATTAATCTGTACAGGCAAGCAGGTGAGCCCAGAATAAATGCAACACGCAGTTTCGTGTTAAGCGTTTTTCCATATAGAATAAACGGTCTACAGCTCTTTTATGTCATTGTCTTTGTCCATTAAGCTACATTACGTGTTTTATTTATAATGATTTTCTATGGGAGGAAAATGTTTAACGTGCAACTTAACGCATTGCGTTCTGGGCTCGTCTGCTTGCCTGTATGGAGTTGATCCTTTTAAAATCACTTAATGCATTTCAAAATGCACGTTCATATTTGTTGGTCTGTATATATTTTGAGTCAACAACAAGATATAGGCTACTGTATTGTCTTTATCATAGTCCGTTATTATACAACATCAAGTGTTTTGCTGTATGGGAGGACAAGTGAAAGTTTGCGCATTGTGTTCATAGCCATCTGTTTGCCTTGTAGTACACTAAATAACTATATATTGAATTTGATCTTTTAATTGAACTTAATGCATTACGCCATGTTAAGTGTCTGTTTTTCTACAGGAGGAAAACGCTTAACGAGAGACTTTGCGCATGCATTCATATTCTGCTGTTCTGTGGCCACGGATTTGCGGGTCTTGTCTTTTTCTTGCAGGACCCTGTATGTTATAGTACTAAATTAGTTTTAATCATTTAATCACCACCACAGCTTGTCTCCATTGGCAACACGCACCATTTGTGTCGATTGCAAGTGACATCGTAGGAAGCAGAGAGTGCAAGTGGCGATTGCAAGTGAAATTGTAATTTAGTTTCTTTTTCTTGTCTTCACCACCTGGCTACTGTTGTAAAATGTTGAGATGCAAACAAAAAGTAATAAAAAAAATAGAACGAAATAAAAAAAGCTAGCGGAAGCGCAAGTGTCTGAGAACGCAAGTCTGAGAGTGCAAGTGCAAGGCTGCAGTCAGACCCTTCACGATTTTCTGCACACCCCTAGTACCCCATTGCAGCCCCGATTTGAATCCTCCTGATCTAGAGAATGCGGTTAATAAAAACAGACTCACCTGCTTCACAACAAATTGGTCACCAAACGGCACCCTAATGATGTATGCAAATGTATTATTGCCTTCAGGGACTCTGGTGATGGAGTATCCCATCTCTGTGGCCGTCAGTACAGAGATCTCCTCCCCATTCAGCTCCACAGACACCAGTTCTACATCAAAAGGAATATTACCCAGATAGACCATGAAGACTCGCTCCTCGGGGATAGTTTCTGGAACAGTCAGTACCATAGTGACTACTTCAGTTATATCCCAAAGAGAAGCCATGATGTGCCCAAATTTAATAACAGTTCCAACTCGCGGTTAACTGAAAAAAAAAAAAGAGGGTAAGGAATTGGTGGAATAGCCATTTGCCGGACCACGTTGTGCATAGTCTTCACACCATGCTGGTCCACAAACACTTGCTGGTACGTCAGTTGGACCATGTAAAGCTCATAATACACATTGTCAGTCACAAAACTCTGTAGGTACAAGTTAACATTTGACTCATAACTCCTAATCAAGTTACCTTGGGATGCTTGAAAGGAACAAATTCTAGGATCATATGGACTATACCCTTCTCATCCCTCCAGCAGCAAAAGGGATGCTGCAGTCTACAACCTCTTCACGGACCACCACAGAGTAGCCTCGGTCTGCTGCAGCCTGCCCATCTACGACATAACCATCAACTCCTATGTCTATGTACTCACTCCTGAACTCAGAGCGTCCAACAACCAGAGGAGTCATTACTGCAGGGGTCCGCCAGTGGAGTCTGTAGCCATCAAAAGTGCCTTCATCAGAGTAGTAAATTAACACAAAAAAAGGGGGGTCGTCAAACTGTCCAAATACAGAAGCGCTGAAGGCGACTCCTGTAACATTGTCCTGTAACATACACTCATCGTTTTAATACACAACAGTTTGTCCAGTTGTTGTTCTTACCAGTGTTAACTAAATTTCTTACCTAGTGAACAGGCAGCAACCAGATCCACCATGACCACCATCCAGTTCTGTCTGAAAAACACTGTGGCTTGGATCCCTTCAACCGCAATACCACTGACCTGAAAAGTTAGATGCAGTGACAGTTTCAAGGCAGTCCTAAATATTTTTGTAAACGTTTGAGATTAGGCCACATGTCCCCATTCTGTCTTAAGCGGAACGGACATTAACTACCATACCATTTTAAGAGAAGCATGAGGTTGTCCGAAATACAAGTCTGCCAGCTGTGACCTTTATGAAGTAGCCCAGAGCAGCAGCACCTTCAGCTGATATGACTTGAGATTGCTGTCCCTCTTGTTGTAGCACCACCTGCAAGGACTCAACTGCAGAACTTTGGGCCTAGAAGGATCTTGGAGTGAGACCTAGCCTCATTCCATGGATTTGTAATTTGTCTAAGTCATCAAAGAGTGCGTTATCAGGGATATCTATCTGATTGGGAATATCCCTCATGTGGAATTGCTCAGGGAACCATACTGGGACCCATAATATTTCTATCATTGATTAACAGTGCCCTCCAGGATCACAGACCACTGGAAATGTTGACAACATGACTATGGCTCAGAGGTGGACACCTCATCTGCCCTGTACTCTCCAACAGACGTTGAATGGTCTTGGCATCTGGGTAGAGAAACTAAATTAAACTCACTTCCTATAGATCAGAACACTTGGGAGATCCGAGACTTTAATCTTAGGGG